TGTGGGTGAATTCGTCGACGATGACTTGAATGCCTCGAAGCCTGCTAGTTCCTTTCGCGACGGCGTTCGTACGTTACTTGAGAGATGGCGCAGGGTCATATAAAACGACGCACAATAAATTATGAAATCAGTTTGTTGTTCCCCATTCTTTTTATAACAATTAAATTTGCTGGAAAATCTGTAGAAGCTCGGTCATGCACCTATTACTACAGGTTATTCTTTTGTCAAACTATTTACAACACTTTTTTATATTCATATTTTCCATAATCTCCATCAGTAGCCACGATGACCACTGGAAAATAGGCCATAATCGGGCGGGGTTTACGGAATTTTGTGAAATTTTTGTCGCCTTCCTGTTTGCTGACACTCTGGGTGGAATTGCTGGCACTTGTGGCACACCTGCCTCATGCCTTTAATATTTTACTGAAAAAAGTGGTTGACACTTGCTAGTGAAAATTTTACCTCTCATAACGTTTTTATGCGGTAGCGTAATGTGTGAAACTTTTATTGTTAAGGGTGACTCCTAGTCGAAGTGACTGCAGAAAACGTGGCTTAAATTTTTTGAAAGATTATTATCAAATAAAATTATTTTCGCCTCCCGTGCTGTGGCTAGCGTCGCAGGCATCGTTTGACTGTTCCACGTTAACACTTGGTACGTGGCTTTAGTACAAGAAAAGCATGCGCCAATCAAAGCCCACGCTCTGCTCTCCTCAAGGTCATGACACTTGAGTAGCTTGTAACCTTTAATATGAATGTTATCTGCCGTCCTTTGAGGCACCCAATGCAATTCCGTGACCATGAAAATCTCTCGAAGACTACTATCCAACATCAAAGAGATGCGCTGACTGTGTTAGGAGTTGTAGGAGGAATGCTTCAGGAACGATGTACGTGCTTGGGACCAGAGGAATGATGCTTGTTCCAGCAATCGTGTTTGGTTAATAACCAATTTCAGGTATTTTATGGCGCGCAGGTTAAAAGATCGTCAAATACTAATTTGTTGAGGCAAAATTCTAAACTGTAGGGTGTGTCAGATGCTGTCAGACTGTCAAAAAGTTACAATAAAAATGATAAAATCACTTGGCATTCAATCTGTCTATTTTAAAATGGATGTTCACTTTACTCTGGTGATTGTCGGGCAATAAACTAAATATTTTCTTCTGCAGCATTATTGGTTTCCCTGGACAAAACAAACTTTTTAGTAAAACCTGAAGAGCAACTTCCAAAGGAAGTGATTTCACTTTGAAGTCGGTAGGTAAACTGAACTTAACTTCTGAACAGCATTTGTCATGCTATTCCCTGTGACGCTTTGTTTTACTAAACTGATTTCTGAGAATAGTGTGCGCATTAACTGCTTACCCTGCTTTTCAATAATACGCGAGCTTCTTCTTCACGTTCCGGATCTTTTTGGCTGTTCCTCCTGCTTGCATCTAAGCCACAACTGTTACTTACTGTATTTTCAGTGGTTTTTAATAGTCAGTCACCAATGAACGTAAATACTTAACGATAAAATCAATACAAATTGACACCGATGAGATGTGTTTAGATTGATAGCTTTGTTTAAAATGGTCGCCTGTCAGCCAATCAAATTTACAACCACCGGCCTGAAAAATCGTTAAATCAAATCAAAGGATTAAAGCCGTTGTTTTTTTAGAGAAGCAATTTCAAACTAAACAGTAATGCTCATCGGGTCGGGTACTGGTCATATCGATTTTTATAATTCTGCCACTTTAATTGATTATTTTATTTTAAATGCAAAATCGAGGAGGCGATTAAATCAGATTAATGTTTAGAGGAGTTAACATCAGAGTAATGTCGGCACTGTTTATAATCAGTGCTAACGAGACGCGGTTTCACCAGCTTCGTCATCATTCCCTAAGCTGTGTCTTCATTTTAGGACGTATCTGAACTTAAAAAGTACCGAGTTGTACCAAAACGTCTGACTTGTATATCATTTCTTTTGCCTTTAGCATATAACCTTTGACTACAAGTTATCACGCGTCGTTGTCGAGGCTGTAAATTTACCAAAAGCTTTTCCCGGTAATTTTGAGCGTAAATAATTTTTTTTTAAAAACACGTGTTTTGTGATTTCGGCTTGATTGTCTAGCTCAATTGGGGTGACGAACAAATTCTGTACTTTGTTTCAATGAAATATCAAAAAATTCGGCACAAATATTTAATCGGTGCCGCTTTGTAGCACAAAAGATGGCTATTTCGGGGCGGAAATTAACGATGGAAATGGTCACTTGCACCATACTTTAACAGATTAGATTAAGAACTCAGTGATAAACTTATGGCGCATGTCGCAACTGCTCAATATTCCAAGGGATCGCGCAAATCCTGCCATGTGCTTGCTGTTTAGTGGCATTGGCATGCAGTTGTCATAACATAGAACAAAAAACGCGCTGGTTATGAATGAGATTAGGGAATTTGTAACAAATCATTTTATTATGAAAACGGAAGCTTGAATTTGGGCTTAAAACCGAATGATTTAGTTTCCTTTTAAGTACACAACACTCAGACTAATGCAAGTCATGACTGCTTCTAGTTGGAGCCAAAAGTTGAGTCCATGTGTGAATGGCGTGGGCTGCCTTGAGTGCGGGAAAGAAAAAGATGAATTGACCAATAGGAAGAACGAGGGAAATATGAGTGAGAAAGTTGGTTTGCAGAAATCGCAGTATAAAATTGTAGAATTCCTGGCAACCGTAGTCGTGGAGATACTAAAATCCCAACAGCACTCTCATCTAGCCGATTTCTAAGCCACCGTAACATGTGCATGTTATTTGTGATTTATCAGCCGTTTAAATTCTAATTGTTATCGATCACCGTTAGACATCCGTTCAATAAACAATCGATAATCATGTTGAATACTGCTTAAAGTGTTTAAGGCAGATTTAACATTCATTATTTTAAACGTGTAAAGTAATTTTCTTTTCTTACAAGGTTCAGCGTACCACTTCGTCATAATAGAAAAATATGTTTTTTTTTTCTAAATTTAATTTCTTAATATAAAACGACAGCACTACATTAACATTTACTGCATTTAGTAGTGATGGCTAGTACTTCAAGACTTGCAATGTTCGCGAAAATGCAAGATCACACATAAACGGATGCCCGATCAGTAGGTCTAAAAAAGAGGCCAATATGGTAAAAAAGAACCTAGATTTAAATTAAAAAATTATTGAGACATGAGTCAAAAAGCCTGACGATGCTGAATTACCAAATTAGTTACAATATCTGATGTCTAAAAGTTTTCAAAATCTGCAGCCAAAACAGTATAAGGTTAGTTAATTTCATTTTTTTTAAAAATATTGCCTTACCAAGCCGGCAAAAAGACCGGAGTATGCAGACCAACTTAATAAAATCAAGGTGAAAAAGTGCATTATTTGACATGTGGATAAATTGGCGATAGGTTGCAAACAAAAATAGGATCATAAAGGAATTCGGTTTTAAGCGTAAATTTTGACGAATTCAAACTTTTATCAACTTATGGGTTTTATTGAACGAATTTAATTTATTGATCAACATGAGAGAATAATGTGATGCATAGTTGATAAAAATATTGGGAACTTGCTTTGCCTGAATGCGATATTCCTAGATACAAAATCATTAGGCGGAAAAATCATTGAATTTTATGAACATTATGCTGCCGATTTTTCTCTTTTGATGCAGTTGGGTGTAACATGAATCTGCATAACTGAGATTTTAGCGTAGTAGACTTATTTCGGTAGTTACATGAAATAAAAATTTAATTTTCTGATCTTCCGAAGTTTTAAATTGCTGTCAGCAGAGGAAGGTGGCGCCTGGTTGCCCACATACAGTATAAACAAATAAAAAACTAATTGTAAAAATTTCTGCGTTTATACAGTTTGCCTTATAAATGACGAACTGACTCAAAAAGACTTGAATTTAGTATGCTTTTATGGGCTTCAGATTAGCGAACAACCATACCAATAGCTAACTAAGCGAAATTAAAGACAAGAAATTGATTTAAACGCAAAAACATTAAATTATTTTATAAAATAGTTGCATTTTTTCAAATGTAGAACGAATTATCAATGCTACTAAATGTGTTTTAATTAACTGATTCGGTCGGTGGCTTTTTCTAAGTGTTGTTTTTTCTATTTAATGTAATTTGGTTTTTGCCTTGTAATTAATTTTCTTCTCTTAGATACTCATAAAAGTTTAATTTTAATGAATTTGCGATTGCGTAATCTTCTTTTCCTCCGGTAGAGCTGGCTCTTCGGGGCTCATTTTATTCTGTCAATCTTCGAAAACGGTACTTTGTACTTTTTCTAATGTGCTTGTAGACTTTTTAATGAGCCACACTTTAAAAGTTGACGATAGCAAAGATCCTCATATCCCAATCCCTGCCATATATATAGAGAATAACTGTTTCTCGGAGTCATCAGCGTTAGAATCTCCTCCCTGCGGCTTACCATTCCCATTCTTTGTACCCGATAGTGATACTATATTTGAACAGGTTCTTCCTTTTCATATTCAGGTGTGTCATAATTCTCTCTCACACTTAATTCAGGCTTCACGATTTCTCTGTTGGTTCAGTGAACTGACTCCTCCAAAGCAATTTCTCTTCACTGCATTATCCCTGCAACATTTAAGTCGTGATTATATGAGGTTGGCACACAGCGTAACCATTGAACGTATGTCTGAAGATAGTCGAAATGGCGATATGAATTCAAAAGCCTGCGACCTTGGTAGGTTCTCTGTTATATGAAAGTTTATTTATCTACACTCTCAGGCCATTTGAATAATCTAAATGTTGCGTCTGAGGATTTTTGCTCCACCCTTCTCGATCTCTTATCATCTTTAAACGTGCCAAGAGAACGGGACTCGAATTTTCTCCGCCTCCATGACAAGTATTTATCCCTTGTGGATAAAGCGCTGGAATGTGCATCACAACAGAAGCCGGTTTGTGAAGATGCGTTTGATTCCCTGGAAGGCCAACTTCTAATAACTGCTATGACGACACCGCTTTTTTCGCTCAATGACCGTCAGTGGTTAATCAATAACATTAAAGCTCGATGCGATGGATGCCCGTCCACCTGGCAAGCTGCTGGTCTCCTGAGTCTCGCTAACGACCTCCTCGAGACATTTGAAGCTCACAAAGCCAGTAACGACGTTCGTAAGTTGCTTAGTTTGGTTGGTGCGTTACGTAAGACGGTTTTGTATTAGTGAGTGTTTTACCCTAGTTTCGTCGTCATCGTGGACCTCCGTACCGCGGAATTTCCGCAGCTCCAGCATTAATTCCCCGTTTCCGTTTCTTCCACGCACACTCTGTCCATTCGCCAATCGGCGACATCACAGTTTAATTCCTCCTACTACCGATAACTCACTCAATGTGCCGTCGCCATTCACGTCACCTCACTTGTTGAGCTCCTCCTCCTCGCTTAACTCCTCTGGCTTTGTGTCTGGAAGTGAGTCAATGTACCAGGGTCTGAATGAACCTCCGGCGGTGGCTTTGCGCGGCAACAGACTCGCCCCGCCTCCAAATAACCGTCTTTACTTCCTTCGACGCCAGTCTGCGTCTCCGTACACGCCTCAGGAAGAACAACTTAAGGAAGAAGAGGATATTGTCTCACCAGCATCCTTTACTAACACCTTGCTGGATAAATTTGACCTTCACAGCTGTCTCATTCCGCGGTGTTGTGAAGATAACTCCTCCCAAGCAGAGTCTTCCAAGGTTGGTATTGTCTTGTAGGTGCCTAGGCGCCGTTTTCGCTAAGGTTTAAAGGAATTCTCAACCTCGTGTTCATATTGTGGATTATATGAGTCACCGATATCACACTGATCATTACCGGTTTCTGATTTATCTACTATAGCTTTGTATACACATCAATAGTGTGCACCTCATGCCTCAAGTTCTTTTCTCTGCGGCTTTTAATCATGCGCCAATTTTGCCGTCAATCGTATTGCGTCATGCACGTTTTTCGATAGTCACTTTTACATTGGCTGCTTATTAATTTTTGTAGGTAATCGCGTCTCCACCAAACCTCTACCAACCACAACAGCACTTGAATCCGCCGCCATCTTCCCACGAAATTCCCAATCCACCTGCCACGAATTCACAGGCGCTGAGTGCGGTGACTACTTCACGCTGTTTTTCACCACCACCACCACCACAAGTCACTAATGATCTTGTGGTGAACGCTCTGCCTGCGAATAATCGCGGCGGTAATGCCAGTGAGTCCTCACCCTCGTCCCTCGTCAACCTATCAGGTGGTTGCGAGAAGAAAAGACAGCCCCCTTTCGCTTTCCGGCGCCGTGTCAGTGCAATTTCGGTCAAGAATGACAAGGTTGAAGACCTAGGCATGGCCTGTATGTCTTCATTTTTCTTTTAAACAAAATATTGAATCGAGTCTTACCGTATTCTTGAATCTGGACGAAGTACTGTATTTTGACGGGTTTTCTGCCCGTGAATCCAACTCTAGAATCTGCGATCCCAAGCGTAAACCACATGCGTAGTTCCACAAACCGAAACACTCAGAAATTCTGCTGTGGCCTTGTGTTCTTGTGGCTTTTATGGATCAGTTGAGTCTGGTTATTGGCTCATAGTTGCTGTTTCAATGCCTTTTTCCCGATCCTTCGTGAGAGTTTGTTGAGAAAGGCGCATTGGTCATGGTTTGCATGATGTTTATGCGTAATTTTAGATGTCCCCGTGTGGTTGAAGAGCCTCCGTCTGCACAAGTACGTTAGTCTCTTTAAGCACCTCACCTACTCGCAGATGCTCGGCATCACAGACGAGTGGCTGCAGCGGCAGCAGGTCACACAGGGCGCGCGAAACAAGATCCTCGTGAGCATTGGCAATTTGAGCACGCGCTCCGCCACACTGACTCACCTCGAGGCGCGCATTTCGGCCGCCGCTCAGAGTCCCCTTGACCGGGGCTCGTGTCTTCGTGGGTGTCTGGGGGAACTCCGAAGCGTCCTCCAGACCCCCTTCCCCCCCTCCCGTGTCTACCAGTCTGCCTCTCCTCCGCCTCACTGTCTGTCGTCTACTTCGTCGGCGGAGGACAGTGCACCGCCAACCGGACCCACTGGCAACGAGTTCCCCTTCGGAAGCGACATCGAGGACTACGTTGAGGACGAGGGTGTGGACGAGGAGGACGGAGACGACGAAAGAGAGCTTCTGGACTTGCAACCGGTACCTGGAGGCCTCTGTCAGTGTCCCTACACCAGTTCGGACACCTGTCTTTTTGACCGATCCAACTCGGGGGGTCGGGCCCCTTACTCCCCGAAGCGGCCGAAATCGAGCGAAGGCGGGTCGTCTGGCGGCGCATCGGGGGGCGAGAATTTCTTCTTTCCCGCTTCGAGTTCGGCCGCGGTGGTTGCGGATACTGCTGAGAAAACCAAGGAACCGACATGCGAGGAAAACCTCTCAGATCAAATAATGCGCTGTTTGCAACAAGGTGAGCTCTTGACCCGCAGTCCTACTCTAACACCCAAGGAACTATGGCCAGAGTCGTAAATCCCTTTAATTATTATTATTTTTCCCCATTTCCAGGTTTGAATGCGCTGCTTTCTGAGCCCGTGGACAGTAACGACAACTATGGATTCTTCATGCGGCTACTCGCCCTTGTTCTCGACCACCCAGTACGTGTGGTTGGCTTACCTTGCATTGTTGTGTAGCTCAATTTGCTGTGGCACTGTGTTTGTGGCTACACAACTTCCAACTCCCATGCCAGATCCACACTGCCATTGAATCTCAGTTGTGACGACGAATTCGTGCACAACGCAGTAACCGCAAATTGGTACCGCGTTGCGTTCGGGTTGTAGTTCCAATTTTTGATGCTGTCCTAACTCCGCACTGTTTTCGCCTTACTAACAGTGTGTTATGGGCCCCAGCATGTGGTCTTGAACCAAGCCTGTGCCACGGAAGTAGCCCTGGTCCGATTACGTTTCCCTGATACCCGCGATGAAGAAAGAGACCGGGGAGGACGTTGACGCAACCGCTTACTCCCGAGCTCAACCACGTTGGTGTCGTGTGTGGGGTTTGTGCGTGTGTATTTATACCTCGGATGTGTGAGCCATACGTGCGCTAACACCGAGACCTAGGTGTAAGGATAATCCAAGATAAATATTCGTGTGAATGAGGGGGGAGTTGAGGATCCGCGCGGCTGGCGACATGCTGCAAAAAAGGGGAACCCTGTGTCGGAGGCGGAGCTATCGGATTAGGGGGCGTGAATAAACACGATTCACATCAAGTGCAAATAACTTAAAAAAGTACGAATAGGCTTGGACCTTGTACTATAGCTAAAACGTTTGTTTGGTTAAGATGTCACATTTCTGGATTTGGTCGCAAACTGGGAAGGTCAAGCTTTCTGTTCTAATTTAGCTAACTTGAAGCTGAAGTCGGTATTGCTCTCACGGATTTCAGTGGTGGTGCTATTGCGAAGTCTGTCTGTGTATTAGTGCTAATGTGTTGCTTTTTTCCCGACTTCCTCGTCGTCGGGAATTTCTTCAAGTGGAATGCCGCAGTGGCTTCCGTTGCATTAATTGGAGTTGCGTGGACGCGCGCGCGTACGCGTGCGTGCGTGCGTACGTGCGTGTCTTGTGCCTGCTTGCCGTGTGCCAGTGTACGGCACGGGCGTTCGCTCGTGCGTTGTGACTTCCCCTTCTGCTAGCCCTCGTCGTCGCTGCTGTGCTAAATTGCGCCTATCGGCTTTCGGCTGCCGTAGTAGCGCCAGCGCAGCTACTCGTCTTGCCTCTAATCCCTACCTAGCTAAGCCTGTTCTGGGGTGATTCACTTAACACCCCGTTATCCCTAGAGCCGCTGACTCACGCGAAAACCCCACACTTTAATTTGCCTTGAATTTCGAGGTATCTTGAGTATTACCCCAGATGTGCTTTTCTCAATCTTCTGAAGACCACCAAGCGACTTTTTTGTCAGTAAATTTCGGATTTTAAACCGTCAGCATCTCGAACTTCCTAGGATCCTTCACTGTACGCTTCCGATGAGCAAGGCTTTAGATTCATTGGGTTGCATTTGGTAATGTAGCCGATCGAGTCCTCAGTTCTCGTGATTTACGAGGCACATCAAACAGCGATTTGACTGCGCAAGATCTCTCCACGGCCAATTCGATTTTGAAAAGGCGTTTACAGAAACCGTGCGTACACTTCCATTGTTATCTTATAATGCAGTCCTACCAAATTGACGAAGCTACTTAATGTGATATGTATGGGGGCTGAACACGTGCAAATGTCATTCCCTGTGGTTAGCAAAGCAACATCAGTTGGTGAAATCGGCCAAATTAAACTACAGAGCTTGCCAATGTTACTGTTTAGTTAGACGAACGAGATCAGACTTGCTTCGTTGCATTTAAACAACTTACAATGTGAAAGGAACATAGCCGTTGTTCAATAGGGAACGCACGAAAGCAGCTCAATGTAAGCTGCAAGTTCCCGTGTAAATGGCTGGTCCATCCGGAAATCGAAGTGTAGGAAGGGTTACACTTTCTTCAAAGATTACATTTCGTTCCGCGATTATAGCCAGACATCCCAAGACAATTTTAACGTGGCACATCAATTTTAGCTTAGAGCACCTAACAAATGCGACGATATGCACGTCTACGAGTTGCATGGGTTCTGGGGTTTGTGTGATCATTATTTATGAATAGCCATCCATTTTCAACATATGTAACGTGTTGACCTCAACAGTGCTGGGTTTGTCGCTTTCAACACAAAAATTGATTTCTGAAACGGCGAGTTATTTGCCTCGTTATCAAACGTATTGTCGGCGATCACTTCGCCTACGCGATTCGGGCATCAGTCGTGGCCAACGACAACGTTTTGGTCGTCGTCGTCGTCGTCCAACACAGATTGTCGGCTCCGGTGTGACTCTAGGTCCACATTGGGAGCCTCGGCAATGATGGAATCGTCTACTTTATAGAGTCAATTTTCGAAACGGAATGCGATTTGCCTAATCTTCCGAATGCACTGATGCTTCGCTGTGTCCAGACAATTGAAATACTGCGTGCGTCTGGAGCCAATTTCGTACTAATTCCTTCTGGTATCACGGATCTCGACGTGATCGTAAACGTCTTCAGAAATCTACCAACTAATTTACCCAATTCAAATTAATTGACTGCCTTTTGAGGCCACCATGTGGTGCTATTCTTTTTACGCGGGTTTTGAAGACGTAAACTCCGATTCTTCACAACCGAAAATGCCTGCAGCAACCAATGGACTTGTCAGATCATTCAATGTTCAAACTGTCCACACTAGATATTGTAAACATGGGATGACCTTCCGAATAAACAAGTTTGTGGTTTCCCGTGGCACTTGTTGTGGCTCCAATGCCGCTCTTTCAGATAGGGTGTTTACAGCTGGTATTTTTACTGAAAATTGCGAGTTGTGCCTGTGAAGACTCAGACTCGAACCCTGGGTTATCAGTATGTGTCTCTTTTCTAGAGTTACCGCTAAACTTTTGAGCCAATAATGGACTGATGTAACTGCATGATTGGGCAGTTGTTTTGCGAATTTTATGGCTTCTAAAATAACATTTTTATCGGCAGAATCGACAACAGTCATCGAGGTAATTTGTCACGTTGTTTGTTAATGCGCATTACAAGCACATCGTCGTTGGTTTGTGTAGTCAGAGACTGCAAGCTTGAGCGTGTTCGGACAGAGGCGCCAAATGCTCTTTGCTCCTATCTGCTTTTTGTCACTCCACAAGTAAATTGCGGTGTTGGAAGCGCTTTTTTTCAATTTAGATGTCTGCATATGCGCCGTGGTAATAGGTGTATGACCCAGCTTCTACAGATTTTCCAGTAAATTTAATTGTTATAAAAAGAATGGGGAGCAACAAACTGATTTCATAATTTATTGTGCATCGTTTTCTATGACATTGCGCCATCTCCCAAGTAACGTACGAACGCCGTCGCGAAAGGAACTAGCAGGCTTCGAGGCATTCAAGTCATCGTCGACGAATTCACCCACATCGTCCAGCGTTTTGAACTGTTCATCCACTACGGCGTGTTGCCGCATTGACCGGAACGAATGGTAGTGGGATGGGGCCAGGTCTGGTGAATATGCCGAGTGGGGTAGAATTTTCCATCCCAAGTTCAAGAGAGTATTGGAGGTCGCAGGAGCAACGTGAGGTAGTCGGGCATCGTCATGCGGCAGCGGCAGCAGTATGACTTGTCTGTTTTCTTGTCCTGTGAATGGCTTATTGTGATCAAGTTCTTCGCCGGTTCGGTCGATTTTCGGGTGTGGCGTTGCGCAGTCACCGTCTGACGACCAGTTTCGAGGAGTTCGCAATAACGTCCACGTTTCATGTACCCCCTCCAGACACACACGAGAACCTCCTCCAAGTGGACGGATGTCCTGTGTCGGCGTTGATGCTCTGGGTTGCCCGGGATCTGCCCACGATTCGAAGTTTTACGATTGGGAATCACGTAACAAAAATATCCTTTCTATCGCCCGTCACAGCGTTCCACAAGAAGTCCGTTAACAGCCTGTTGTTGGCGGAAAAGCGGACAAAGGCGTGTGCTTATGCGTTGACGCAGGTTGTATTCGGTCAGCACATGTGGCAGGACCAAACGTCCACGTTTGCGAATGTTTCTCATTCGGTGGTGCAAACGCTTGGAAATAGGTGTTTGGATGACTCCTAACTGGGGTACTACAAGCTCTTGCTGCGATTGCGTTGGGTCTTCGTCCACTAGAGTGTGCGATTTGGGATTCGCAAATTTTCGAGTCTGCTCTCTAGGTCGCGGTTGGTCACAAGGATCGAAATCACCACTTTTAATAAAACGTATGTACTAATACACGTATCTTAAGGGACGACGTCAGCACCAAAATCACGAAAAAGTTCTCAACTTTTAAGCTCAAGCCGTATACCTAATAGACGGCTGTTATTAGTCTTTCAACAGATCACAGAAGGACCAGGTGACCGCATGGCAGAAACAGCTGATCGACCGACTAGGCCCAGCTCCCCAGCCTCGTCGCTCCTACCACCACCACAGGGCGTCGTCGCGTCGCTCGCACCACTACTCCCAGCCACCGGCTCGAGGTGGCGGCTCTTATTCGGCGCCGTACCTGCCTCGGGGCAGCGTCGGCTGTGGGGCTTTGGGTTCCCGACTGCACTTCGCCTCACCCCTGCGTCCGCCCTACCACCACGCGCAGCACCATCAGCCGCGTTCCGCGGCGCCGTCCTTCTTGCAGGCGCCGTCGCCGCTTGGAATGGGCACTCACTGGAGCGGTGGGATGGTTCGTGGACGCAGCACTGAGCCCGACGTGTTCCAGCGTCAGCAAGTCACGCCCAGGTTGTCTTTCCAGGAGCGGGTGACAAGCCAGCAGCAGCAGCGTGTTGCCAGTCTAGACAGTCTGCCTGGCTCGACGCCTTTTGGGCCAATGGAGCCACGAATGGTAAGTCGTGTATTTGATTGGTTCAAGCGACCCAGCTCAACTCGATCGATATGCGAGCGTACCAGCAGTTTGGATAGAATGCTTCTAAAAACACACACGCCTTTTCTCACTCTTAAAGGCCACACAACACGTCTTTGGCAGGAACCGCATGTCTTCTTACCACGGTCCGTTGGGTGGTGACATGTCGGTGTCGAATTCGGCTTTCACTTCGCCTGCGTTGCAGCCGGCCTGCTGCTTTGGCCTCAGTCCTGCGGCGGATGGAGACGGTTTCGCCATCACGACCGCCGCCGCCGTCACAACCTACCAGCCATCCACTCATCCAGCAGTGGTCTCCGCGCCACCCACCTCCTCCTCACCCACCGTCTCAGACTACTCAACAGCTGAAATCAACCGGAATTTGGACCTTCTCACTGAAAAAGTCACCAAACTGGCCATTGATGGTAAACCGTCACCAGTCATGTCATTAGATCTCCCCCTATTCGCCCAATTTCTTCCTTCTTATTGACGTCCAAAACTGTAATAAGAGACGTGACTGTCACCGCACTAATTTGTTGCTTTTCTGTTCTGTTTAGAATCAGACTCACCGAGTGAGTAGCATCGTTGGTGGCCCGACGCAGCGCGCGAAACGCTTTGTACCTTCACACACACACACACGCAATGTGGCTGGCTTCACAAGAAGGCAACTTCCAATGCCGACTACAGTCTCCGCTTCTTTTTATGCAGGTCATCGTGTAAAGCTGGACTTTGGTTCTTTTTTTTGTGTCTCCAATACCAACACACAACCCACCAGGCTGTGTCCCAAGCTGGTCTTGTGCATTTTGTGGTCTCCCGACATACTTCTGGATTATACGTATTCCTCTTTTTTTCCCTCCCTCTTTTAATTTCACTTTGGCCGTTTGTTTTGGATCATCCTCCAGCATGCAAGTTGGTTACTACTTACCCGTCCTACGATCATTGCGCCCACCCCCCATCCACTACCCTGTCCCACGATGCTAGATTTATACTACTATGATCAACGCGAAGAACCTCTCGTGTGTGTATTTGTTGTGCAAATAATTGCGTTGTTAATTTGCGATTTCTTTTGAATAGTTGTCTTGCAGGGGAGTAGCTCTGGCATTAGTATTAAACGCAACAGGTTCCTCCTCCGCTCTTGTGCGCACGAAGGCGATTTTTCTCAAAAAGTAAACCCCTGCAAGCAAGCAGAATGTGTGGATACAACATGGTGCTACTTCGTGTCCACACTTCTTTTTTAATGCCGCGAGATCGATAAACCATCTTTCTGACAATCATCTATGAATTGACGAAACCTTTTCCGTATGACTAATGTTATTTGCAAAAAGATGGGACCGTTGTTTAGTTCGCCATTTCTTTGTGCTAGGAAGATTATCTCCCCCCCCCCGTGGCAGTATGCGCCAACCCGATTTCATGCACACGTTTTTAGTTCTTAAATTAGTCGAACGAGCAGCACCTGAGTAATGGTGATAAAACGACAGAAAAAGGAACCAAGGATTCGAGATTTGCCAAATTATGTAGTCCAAGATATGTCCCCCGGCAGATCCTGCGCGTAAATCGATGTGTCGATCCGCGTCGTCTCTCAGCTGTCCAATACCAAGCTCAGGAGGCCCCCTGATCAAATCGGTCATCAGAAGGGACATCTAAATGGTTGTGTAGTCATTGCCAAGAGAAGCGAATTACAAAGCTGAATTTGTGGTGGGTACTAAGGTGACGTCGAGTTTTGACATCTCATATTTCAAATGGGCCTAAGGTTTTACAACCTGTGAATAGTGCAACTTGGTAGAGAGTGTATCCGAGTTGTTTGGAGCTTTTCATGGAATATATTTGAGACAATCAATGATTCACAAAAGTTGACGGTTGCATGGTAAGGTCAATGTGGGCATTTATATCAAAAAAGGAAGTAGGTGTACAGTTTATTTCACTTTAGGCCCAAACCTTGATGCTATGCTTGCAACACCGACTTTCCTGAGTTACACTATTAAGGTGGCCAAATATGACTCTACAAACCACAAAAAGGCGCGATTTTTCTATTCAGGTGTCAAATTCATCTAGAGATAAAATCACGCTTCCACCTTAGTCTTTACAACGGAGTTGTTAACATTTGTAACCATGTGACAACGATTCCTTTGGCTGTGAGAACTAAGTCGAGCGAAATTTCACCTTTGTCACAGTTACAATCGACACCTAACACACGAAATGTGAAAACACGGACAAAATCCGCCAAGAGGACCCTATAACTGACTTCGAATCACTAGAGCAGTAAGTCAAACGGTAACTACATGTCAAAAAAATAATAACAGTACTGACTACTTGCTTGTTGCAATATTTCTACTTTACTGCATAATGTATAGACAAGAATAAAGTTAGGAAGATGCAAAATATAATTAGTAAGTACGCATCAACCTAGTCTCTTTATGCCAAGTTGATAAAAAAAAAGTACAGCAGACAAAGGTCACCAATAGGTCCGTCATAAAATTTATTAGGAGAGACAGCAGATTTACCGACAAGTTCAGAAAAAAACAAATGACGATAAATTGTCGAGTTAAAACATATACTTCCGGTGGAAATAAAAAATAAGCGCCCACTAACAATAGACTACTTTGTCCATGAAACCTTTGGAATGTCAAAGTGCTCACTCATGGCATTTAAATGTTGATTAAATTCCATAATGCGTTGTTTGTGGGACTTTTCTGCTTTGGTTAAAATTGTTTCAAGCATTCGCTTTTCTTTCTTCTTCTCGTACTCAACTTCCGCAGCTGTCTTTGTAATCTTTGGTTCCTCTTGCTCCTGAGACTTTCCATTATCTTCTGCGTAATCAGCAAGAGAATCAGCTTTCCGTTTCCTGTGTTTTTTGCTTTTCCTAAAATGTTACATTACAATATATAATACAAACTTTGTAATTTTGCTCTCCGTCTTTAGCTTCAACGAACCTTTAATAACGTTTGAGTATTCTGACATCTAGAGAGTGTATGAGGTGCCGATGTCAAATCTAGAAAATTCGAACCTCTCTTAATGAGAGAAACCAATCACCCGAAGGCACTGAGATAAAATGCACACAAATCAGACCGAGGCAACCTATCCTGTCTTTCCAACTAGCATCATTATAGTTGGTTGACACCTACAGAAATTTTTCAATCCACATGACTTCAAATACATACAATATAGATTCTAGCATGCGCTATTTGTGTATATTTGTATGAAAACGCAATCTAGACTATTTGGTGGCAAAAAAGAAAGCAAAAACTGTTTTTGAAAGAAACGATTACTACTTGCAACTTTGATTTTTGGCTCTGCAGGGACAGTTTCATGTTTAGTGAATTCTTTCTAAGAAAATCCGTTTGAAGAAACATTTGGAAATAGCTGCCAACTTAAACACGTAGAAGTTCTCTGGATATTAAATGGCAAAACGACTTTGAATAGCACTCCTTTCCATACCTAACAGTTACAAATTAAATTAAATAATTTGGATGCATTGTTAGTGATATGGATTTTGTTAGCGTCTTTACAAATTTTATTTATTATATGATGCCAGGTTTAAAAGGCTGTCCCTTTACCTTTAACAATTTTATGCACCACGCGCTTTTATCAATAACACATGCTACACTTACACTTAGCATTCCTAACCACTCAAACCCTCACTCACTTTAACGGAAACTAAATTTGGTTATTTGGTTCTTGATTTACAGTATGTGAGTTTTCTCTTAATGATCAAAAAGATATTACGCAGCAGATTCGTTACATGAATTTGTGCGCAATGCTTTATTGAGAAGTTGATGATACTGAATTGCTTTCTTTAATCAAAGAAAATGAGTTTGTTAAAGTTAAATTTATGCGCAAATAATCAAAATCATTAACCAGATTGGATGTGTCAGGATTTTGTAACATTTGAATTTTATATAACAAAAATGTGGGTTTGCATGTGTCGGGCAGCAAAGTAAAAAAACAAGGAAATTTTATTTGAAGCATTTTTGTTACCATTTTAAAACTTCTGGATTTCTTTGTCTCATAATGAACTCTGCAAAAAATGTCGTGAAAAGGTTTTGTTCATTTTCCTATTTATTTAGATGAACATGAAAAAATTGGAGCGGTTGCATTGGGTCACAATTTAAACTCGTTATAGGTGGAAAATTGCATAAAATTATTGAATATTCCAATGGCACCTGCAAGTTCTCCCATTATTTTTGTGGGGCCAATCTTTTGCCAATGTGCGTTTAAATGGCTTACGTTCGATTTCTGCAGCATAGCGAAATACAGAGCTGGCTGTGAAGCCCTTTGTAATGAATGGCGTGGTCAGTTTAGTCAACTAGCATTAAATCCCCAATAACGATAAAATAGTCTTTGACTCGAAACATCCAGTAATTTAGGCAATACCAATTTCTTTGCCTTATACCACTTGATATGCGAAGCACACTTAAAAGGAAGGATTAACTTTTGTAAGGTAGTTTCTGGGTTAATTCATTCATGTTACTATTAATTTTTTAAGTACATTAAGTATATAAAGCAAGCTGGCCCAGTGGATAGAATATTATAAACAGGCGGATTTAGTACCGCGATATCCGGTTCTCGTTTCCGTTAGCGACCTAGCATCCACAACCTAAAACGTAACTTATACCGTGCAAAAATATCAACACTTCAGGCAGGAAATTTTGTTTAAGCTCATGAAAATAGGTACCTAAATTTTATTTCACTGAATGGATGATACACAGTTGTTAATCTGATGATTTTTCTAAAATTTAAATATATGCAACGACCACACCTTAGCCAGTCTGTAGTTTGTTTAAATCAATCAAGGTTATGTTTCGCTTTTACCTTGGATGTTGATGAAAAACCGTCAAGCGTAATATTTGGAAATCCATGTCTGGCGCGTCGAAGAAAACAAGACTGCTTCTTGGGGAAAGAGCTGTACCGTCCGAGCCAAAAGTTCGAGCACAAGATGGAGCCAAACGTGGAAGTCAAGTGGATCCTCAGATGTGTCTGGGCGATCTGAGATCTCTGAGTTGAGTAATCACCACTGAGCGATGAGTTGCTGGTGTGAACAACTGAAGGGTTGTGATTGGTTGCTGATATCACTAACAATTGAAGTGTTTACGCTAGTAGGGCGCTTTATCCACGGCAAATTAATTGCAACTAATTTGTGTGTGGCATATTCGTTTACCTTAAAATAGTTATTTTCGTCTCCTTGTTTTTCTTTTCATTGGTTTATCGATTTGAAATGCGGGTACAATCATTGGACGAAAGCATCGAGTGCCAAGTTACATATATTTACTTAAACCCTCCGTCTCCTTTCATCAGTACTGGCATTTTGAGCTGGTTTGCTAGAATTGAAACAAAAAATAATATTGGCAGAACACAATATTACAGCGTTCTTCGAAAAATCCCGCAAATGTAGCTCCTGAATGCACCGCACACCCTTCAATAGATCTGCTTGCCGCTTTGACTCGTTCCTAAAAAATTCATGATCTGCCGCCCACAGAAGGCCAGCTGTAAACTTTTGCAGCTAGAAAATGCAAAAAAACACCCAGTAGGCGTAGGCGATTTAGCAAGTCTCACACCGCATAAGTGTTATCCTGAATAATTAATATTCACAATATAAACAAAGTAAACATTACATATAAAACAGTAAACGTAAACACCGCTTATGTTCATATCAAGCAGCGCTTAACTTGAGCACTATTCGTGCAATGAGTGGATTTTGGAAGCCGCGCACATTTATAGTCATTATTAAAACAACAGACAGGTCAAAACGAACATGGCAAGTAGGTGCGGTGTAGTAAAACAACTTCCTACCCCCTTTCAAGAATTAAGCTCCGTAGGGTCTGACATCATCACTACAAAGAAGTTTTCAAAATTGCTGTAGACTCAGACCATGTGAAATTTGAGCCTAAGCGTGTTTATTTACTTATTCACATTCTTGTCTACTGACATATGTCCCAAGTTATTCAGGCTTAATCATTTAACTGTCGTTTTCACGAGCCTATGCAAACGACAGGTCGTAATTCCAACCGCAAGAAGTCCAATAGGAGTTGTATTAGCATGCAGAGATTTGATTGGCTGGCGGAAGCCTCCTAGAGGGCGTTTAATTGGTCAGAAAATGGACCAGTAAAAAGTAAGCCACACTGAACACTTGAGTTAGGCTTGGCGCCTGTTCGCCTCCTCCTCCTCCGCCTCCTGGAGCCAACGCCATGTTTTTGAGCAACCATGGACAGTACATTTCATGCCTATAGACTCAAATTTGTCCAGCAGACATGTCGCATACGAAAGTGCATTCGATTCACCGACCTGGGTCTCGTTGCCTTCTTCCAACCAGTCTCTGGAAGGCATTGCGTCGTGGTGGGAGAGGTAATTGGCACAAAGAGGTCCTCTGGCATTGGGGCAAACCCCTTGCCTCTAACGAAGCTCGTCTCAAAGGCCACTCTTCATCGACTTCAAGAGGCTCTCCAGAAACCCCGGAATTGTAACGAAAATGCGCAGCCATTGCAAGGTAAGGCAAGAGTCAAGCAGACGAATGAAAAATGTTTGCGTGTTGAGGCTTCATAAATTTTAATGAATGAGGTGAATACACAGCGTCCTTCGACTGGTTATGGTTCCAGCGATACGAAAACACCAGTTTTTTTCGTGTTGTTGTGGAGACTTATATAGTCTGCTGATAATTATAGCAGCTGATTAATTTTGACTACTGGCCAGAAAGATGATTTTCCAAAAGATTTCATTTTAGATTAAAGGAGACAAAGTTGGGATCTACTTGTCGACGTTTCAACTCATTGTTATAGTAAGAGCGTGGTTGTTAAGATTGTCGATAGCGTGGTAAGCCATCTATTTGTGTAGCACACGCATGACATCGATTTCTCAACTAACATCCCTACGTGAAGTGCACTCAAGATTATCAATTGAATCTGTGCTGCCTCACGCGTGCTAATCCCCGCCCCCCGATTGATATCGATCACTGAAAGAACGTCGCTAAATGAAGTGCATTTAGATAATCGATTGAATAAACGTTCGCGTCCTGATCTCCGACGCCACGTGAAGTGAAGTCAATATTATCGATTGAATCTGTGCTCGCTCACGCGTGCCAACAAATTTTGCGCATTAATCGCCTCCAAATACAGGAATATTTTTATGAATCCCTGCACGATCGGCTAAAAGTACATTTGGAAAAAAACATGGTGGGGTTTATTGGGGGAGTTTTGTGTCAACTGGAATAATTTTCCTGCCAATTTTAATCAAACTAAATGTCACAACCACAGATTGAAAAATCTTTCAGAAAAAAATACAAGCTTCGTTTCTTCTTTGGCAACTAGTTGTCATGGTTTCGCATAATGTGTACGGTGATAGGATGGTAGTCAGGCGAGAGGCAGAATTCTCGATTTGTACTTTTAATATTTTACTATCGGACATCTGCAAAATCTTTAAGAACGCCTTTTTCTATCACTCTAATTTTTAAGGAGCTTGATTTTCAACTGCTGTAGGTCTCACCGCCTCGGATGTCTCTCATTACGAACATCTGGAGGAAGTGGCAAATCGTCACCCCTAGTATGCTTTTAATTTCGTTTTTTTGTGTTCTTATTCCATGCTCAGTACTTTGCATACGCAAATGTTGCCTTGAAGTTTTGTTTAAATCGCTAATGAAATCTCTCTATTTTGCTCTTAATTCATTGGTCGTTTTTTGCGCAATTTTTAAACACACAACTAGATGCACATTTAATTCAAAAATACTTTTGAAAATGGAGTAAGTAAACCACATTGGGGCCAACGATCTACGCTGACAACTCGATTTATCGCTACAGGTTGTTTTAGTGTGCCAAGGTCTCAATTTATCGATCTCTAAATGAAACACACTGCAGATGATCGATTGAATTCACATTCGGACACTTCGATCGCCGTCGCTACGTAAAATACATTCCAGATAATCGATTGCATTCTTGTTCGGTCGAGCCTGTCGACACTTTTCACCAGCTGATCGCCACACATAATTCATATCGATCTCTGAACAAACATCAAGGTAATCGATTGTATCTGCAATCGATTGAATGCCATGTTCGCCTGCTGATTGCCACATTCCTATGAATATGGTTACCAAGCTAAATTGGCGCCATCATTCATATTATCAAAGCTCTAGTTGCAAGATGTTAACAACACAAATGCTCTGAATTCACGGGTAATTAAAAATATGCAACAACCAATCTACTGAAAAATGGTTATTTTTGATTGGCTTGTTAACAGCCAAAACCGCCCATTTACACACAAATGACAACTTGAGTTAATTTCTGGAGGTAATTCTCAGTCAAAAGTTTTCCTAATCAATGTTTGTGGTTTCCAATTTACAAGTAATATGAGTGATTGAGAAAAAAACATTGTCATTGGAATAGTTAGTTTTACTTATCAAGAGACGATCAATTGTTGGGTTTCTAGTTCATGAAAATTTGTACCAATCCCACCATTTTTTATCGCAGTTGTAATTGCCTTTGTTTTAAACTGCAAATTCTTTAATTTGGGCCTCGTAGCCATAGTAATGACCTCAATTGAGGCACGCAAGTAGCACCACTGCGTACTACTTGAATTTGGTAGTAATATTTTGGCCATGCATCCACCTAAAACCCTCTAAATGATGTCGGCTTTTCCTAACCCGTTACTTACAAAGCTATTAAGTAGTACAGACAGCTGAATCTGTAGACGTGTTTTTAAATTTTAGTCGAATCGTCAAGAGACCAGAGACACACATACTAAGCCCGCCAGTCGTGTGTAAGCGTATTTCCGTTGTGAAAACAATGACTCATCAGCCTTACTCAACATCACCAGCGCCAAGCGACGACTGCCTCCTAAATTCATGTCCACTTGATGTGTTAACTTTACAGGTGAGTAGCATAATCTGAAATTGATTTTGAAATGCATCGACAGATGAGTCAGTGTGTGTAACAGGTGGCAAATAGCAGGAGCCAATGAAAATTAGGGATGTGTCATAGAAAGAAATAATCCTATAGGCCTAGCTTTTAACTTAACCCAAAACATCTCACCCTATTATTTTTAAAATTGTGTTCATTTACGCGACATTTCCCAAATCTATTGATTGAAAATATCGATTTTTAATGGCTAGATGTACTGCCGTTATTTGACACTCAGAATCCTTCCAATGTCTGTGAAATTTGAAGATTGGTTGAGCACTCAAAGCATTGGCGATATATACCTCTCGGATGTTGTATTTTGGGTAAGAAATTTATTTTTGACATAAAACAAAAAAAGTTTAAAAGAGGGGTTTAAAAGAGAGGCAGAGTTTAAAGGTTAGGATATCTTTCTAATTCTGGTTCTTGATTGCACCATTATTATCTGATTAGTAAGACCACTAGCAGCACAATCGATTGCCTGATAGGCAATTATCTTAATCGGGGCAGTTATTATTAACTTGATTGACCAATTAAAGGCTGACAAGTGAAGCCAACCAATCAGAAGTTAGACACTTACATGACTGCAACAAATTTGATTGGTTGCTGAACGGATACTCGAAAACCTGTAGCATTTACCGATCCAAATCAGCAAACAACGAGGTCTGGAACATTGAAAGTAATTTGTGTGTGTTATGTCACGCCAAACATCCAAGAAATCGATTTTTGCTGAAACTGCAAAAAATTGTTTTTTCTCGTGTCAAAACGAACCCCCTTTCTCCACTTTTATAGGGCCAGCATAGGCTGAATCCGAAGTACGTTTGCACTTTGCACATTGTTTTAATTTTAAAACCATTTGGATTTTTTCGGATAAAATATTTCTTTTCTTCGTTTACTAATTTAACTGATATAATTAGTATCCACGAAAACTAATTAGTGGACAGATTTCTTTGAAAAAAAAAGACTTTTTTTCATTTAAAGCAATGCAAACTAGGCTACTCATTCAAAGGTTGCTTTCGAATGCTAAATCAAACGAAAGTAGAGTCTTTGATATTACACAACCTGAGAGATTGCTTTAGACATTAGCGTTGTGTGTTGTGGTTATGGCAACCAAGGCATCGTGGAGTTTGTTTTAAGAGTCCGATTACCAAACCACGTACTTGGGCTGAGGCAGCCGGCGAATTTAAAATTGCCTCAGTAATTGACATACCCGAATACCAGTGGTTATTCTTTTTCACTAGACAATAATTTGCCCACTTTAGAGCAAACAAATTATTTGCCTTTGGATAAGAGTTCATGTGGGACACCTGCAATCCAAAAATAGACGTGTTCCCGGTTCACTTGGCATTAAACATTTTCTATTTTTAAAAAAAACCAGTGAAATAATGCTAATCGTTCGCCACCGCAAACACGACATTTGTGTCTGCCTGCATCTGTGTGGGGAATGCACTCTTTCGCAATTTTCAACTCATCTCAATTCCGCGATTCTTCGAGACGCAAACAATTTTTGTACTCCCAAGAGAAGCCTGTCAATTGGCTCGGTTCCCAAAGCCTTTATTTCGTCCTCTGGTGAGTTGCCTGTGCAGTTCTGTTTACGCAAATTTATCAGCGTTATGGATTGGTTTTCATTGGTTGATTCAAACCCGCGCCGTGATTTAAACACAATGATTTCGATCTGAGTTCAAATCATTGTGGCGTTGGTTTCGCTTTCACTAATTTATGCAATTTTGATGCAGAACACACACTCTCTGCCCAGTAAAATGTCAAAAGCAATGACATTTGTGCGTCAGGAGGAATTATTAGCAAAATGTCGATTTTCAATTGAACGGACTTGACCACTTTTGATCAGTTGGCTTCAATGTACTTTTCGTACTTTTAGACGCACTAGTCGGGCGATCGACGCTAGTTTGCAAGTACTTGGGCAATGCCGAGGTCCCAATACAGATGGGTAGGCTATAATGCTAATTTTCATACACTCTTCACGGGCATTTAAATTGATTTTTGGCGAATTTCAACTGTGAGTTGATTTAAACAAAGCCTTTATTTGTAGGTGACGACGCCTTCAACCAAGCTCTGAGTATGCTTACGGGGAGTGTTCTAGAGGAAATTTGGATATCCGTTTACCTGCATGCTACCTCTTTCGCGGTCACAGTCGAACATGTTCGGGTAAATCAACCAATAAACAAGTAACTTTTGAAATTGACCAGTCCACATCACAGTAATTCAAATATGGGACAAAAACACCAATGACAGTCAGATAATTTAAATCCCTAGAAGTAAATATCACAACAATACGCGGAGTAAACAGGAAATTCACAACACAAATAGAGAAGCATGCTGCTAGTGGCGCATTCGATTGGTGTTCCAACGAAATCAGTGTAGTAAAACAAGGGATAAATGCAGACTAACATGCCAGTTTGTTTTAAGCGATCAATAACAAAAACGATAACTCGCGTTTCTAAAAACAAATTTTTTTCGCGCCATCATTTATTGTGTAAATAACAGCTGGTTATATACTGACTGACACAATTGCTGCAGTGGAACAACAAAAGTAAAATCCAGACAAGACGCAAAGTAAATAGTAAACTTATAACACAAATAGAGAAACACACTGCTAGTGACGGATTTGAATAGTGCTCCAAAGAAATCAGTACAGTAAAACAAAGAATAAATACAGACAAACATGCCAGCGCTACGCATGTTTTCACTCTGAAGTTTCCATCATCACACTTCAGTCTAGATTCTTACATTGCAGAAGCAAATTGACTTTGCCAGCGATGTGCAAAAAGTAGGATGTCGGTAAACGCCATTTTTTGTGGCACGTGTGAAAATGTGGAAATTTTGAGTCGCAAGTAACACCAGCAGAGATCAACAAAAGCAATTCAGAACTATAAACCTCTCATAAAGGCTGTCGGTTAGTGGCGCATTTGAATCGTGTTCCGATAAAGTCAGTCGATTAAAACAAGGTGTTTTGCGATAATATTATGCCGAATTTTGCATTGAACAACTTACCTACAAGAAAACTTATTTAATCATTGTCTATTGTTACAGGCGACATTCTCGTTTTTTGATTTTCTGGATGTAAAAACGCATTTTTTAAGGTCCATATTGCTTTGTTTTAATTCGTTTCAAAAATTCCTTTTCCATATGAACTTTTTATCACCAGCTCAAAGGCTAACGGACAATTTGTTTGTGGCTGATTTAAATAGTGTTCCGCAAAATCAGTATAGTAAAACAAACCCAAATCAAGACTGATAATTTTTACGACACTACTGTCCCTGAACTAATAGGTATTTCCTAAAACGGGGTATTTTTTTTCATTCTGGTTGACAGAACAATGCAGTAAAGACATTGTTTCAATGTCAGCTGGAATCGATGGTCTACATTGGTGTTTCAGATGAAAACAAGAGGTGAGTTTAATTATGTGTCGATTGGTCAACTGTCACTCCCGTAATTTGCGAATTCCACTTTACTTGGTTATTGTTAAATGGTTGCGATTCTGCTTCTTCTAGCCGTGTTGATTAGATTGTCGTTTGAAACTTAATTGTTTGATTCTATAACTCCATGATGCGGTCATAGCTGCATTTTGGATTCACCAAGCTGTGGGCGCGAAATTTGACCGCGAAATTGCGCACTTTTCGGCTTAAATCATTGC